GTACCTACACTAGCACCAACACCAACTATATTATGCATTATATGTACACCACACCTACATCAACCACTACTCTAACCTTTACAGCAACCCATATAACAAACTCAATACCCACATACAGATCGCTACATTATCTCCTACATCTGCATTTACACCACAACCTACACCAATATTCAAAAAAACGCTTCACTACATTTACACCAATTGTAACACCTAGATTACACCAGCAAATACTTTTAAACAAACATATATATCGACCCCTACACTTACACTCACTACAGCTACAAAAACAACAACAATCACACTTTTATTTTGACTAATTTCTACATCTAAAGCCACACCTATATCTACACCAACACATACACCTAAGCCTACAACTACACATATAGGAAGCAAAAAAAAAAAAGGAAAAAACAGTACAATAAAGAAAAATATAGGAAGCAAAAAAAAAAAAAGGAAAACAAACTACAATTTTTTAAAATGTGGGAGGAAAAAAATAAACGAGGAAAAAAAAAACAACAAGAAAAACATGAAAACCAAAGAAAACCAAGTAAATCAAGGAAAAACAAAACAAAGACAATAGGCCCATTTGCTTTTAATTGTTTTTACACACACTGTCATAAAAAAAATATGTAAGTATAGTTTCACATTATCTTTTAATCCTTTCATTAAATTATCATTATTTTTCTCGGCATTTTAACACGCTCACACAAACAAAACATTAACATCAAGTGTTTCTTCCAAACTTTTTACTCCGAGAGAGTGGGGGGGGGGGGGAACTTGAAATTTTCAAGGTGGAGGCGAATATAATTTTCGTGGGGGCGGGCGCTGTTAAAAGTATATATTTCTTATATAAATTCCATTTCATTCGGGGGGGGGGGGTGGTAGACTTTCTTTGGGGGGGGGGGGGGGGGGGGCGAAGAGATGCCTGGAAGAAACTCTGTTAACATCCAACGTCTATTTATGTTTTAACAGGTTAAGAAAGATTTGCAATATGTCATTAAGTAGATCATCCAAAACACTCTCAGTCTGGTCTATTGTAAAATGTACTTAAAAGCTAATGTTGACCAAGTGGTCTTTAAAAAATTTACAAGCAATACAGATCATGATAATGGTTTGATGACAACTAGCCTGGTTCCCACGTTACATAGAAATTTATAAAAGTTCGTCATTAAACAACGTCTTGCTACTTGGAGGATGGAGGTGGTCGGAATTTTGTGGCACACATGCCTAAATAAATAGTGTTGAAAACTGAAGATTAGCAGATATTGCACCTTTTTAATAGGCTGGCGATTGTTTTGTTTTTTAATATAATCAATGTTGACGAAGCTCAGTAAATATTTTACAGAGAAATCGATTATTTTTACAGACAAAAACGTGTAAGCTGAGGTTTGAAGTCTTTTTAGATGCGGGGGTTTGGCTTTTTGTGACGATGTTTAACAATGTGTGTTAAATAGTGTGTGGGGTAAAATCATGTTAAAAAGCGTGAAGATTTTAATAAATAACTCCTGAACTGAAGGTTATCAATATGCTAATGGGTGGTCTAATACTGTTTAAATTATCTTTAAATACTATTTTTTTTTGTTTCTAATGATTTAGTAGGAATAACGTAATTTAAAAGTCATGTTTATAGACCTCCTGACCTCTGTCGGTTTTTATATATTGCAAAACACATTTAGGCTTTTTTTGTTGAGAGTAATGTGTTTCGATGAATACCACCATCACTGACCGTCAACTTTATAGCCCTGAACAGTAGTTTTTAACCTTTATAGGGATAGTGAAACCCATCATCTTCATGTGCTCAAGAGCTCATGCATCGAAACCTTGAAAGAATACAAAATAAAATATGATTTTTTTGTTCAAATTCAAAACAGAGGTATCAGGGGTCGGCGTGGTCGAGTCGGTAAAGCTCATGGTTGCTAAACCGAAAAGTCTCGAGTTCGAACCCTCAGGTAGATGAGGCTCGTTAGCTGGGGACAGCCACTCTTCTAGGAGAGACAACTCCAAAATCAATCAACTGCTGCCTTGTAGTTTGTTCTTGGTTGGACAAAGGCTATGGAAGCAAATCCAAAAAGAAAAGCAGGCTGAAATCGGAGTCAATGGCCTCAATGGCGCATAATCAGTTGACACGTAATCCTTAATTGTGATGGAAGCATGGTCGAGTCGGCAAAGCTAATGGTTGATAAATTCGAAAAACCCTCGAGTTCAAACCCTCTGGCAGATAAGGCTCGATCCCTTCCAACACTAATTACTATGAACGAAGAAGAAGAAGATAACAGAGGTATATATTTTACTGCTGCTGTATAAAACGAACCATGCATCAACATCACTGTGTTCAATCAACAAAATCATTAAAATATTATTTGAAAACTAAATTAAAATAAAGAATATTGACTGCAAAACAGTGTAACTTCTGCTGATGACTTTCAGACACCAGTTCACAGATGCGTGGCTTTGCCTTAAATTCAGCAAGCGTTGTATTTTTGTATTATCCATCTTCTTGCAGTTATAAGTTGTGTTCTGCTAGTTTGCCGAAGCTTGACAAAATTGCTCAATTTGGCATTGCAAATAATTTAATACTTTAAAGATTATGAACAGGTCGATTATTTATAAAATCACAATAAGGAAATATCCGCTTATGTATGCTCTATATATTCTTCCCGTCACTTTTTTTAGCTAGTATAAAAGGTTAAAAATATCAAGAAACAAAAGCATAGAAGTACTTCTGTGACAACCACAAGTCAGTTACTAGGCCAAAATATCCACATAAAAAGTTTTTTTCTTTACAGCACATATATACAGCAAAGAGTTTCTTCCAGTCTACCACCACTCCCCCCCCCCCTCGAACGAAATGGAATGTATATAGAATATATATATATACAAACTTTTAACTCTTATACTTTTATACTTTTCCGTCTCCCCCCCCCCCCCCGGAAATTTTAGTTCGCCCCCCCCCCCCGAGTATTTCAAGTCCCCCCCCCCCCCCCCCCCCCCCAGGAAAAAAAGTCGGTCATTGGCCGTAGCCGTTAGATCTGTCGTCGGCATTGACAATTATAGATAGCAAATTGAAAAAAAAAAGTCCCGTGTGCTTCTTCGCCTTAGCCAAACTTTACTGACTGACTCACCCAAACACAAGTAAAACGTGTTTAAAATTAGACGTTTTCTTATGTAGCGGAGGCGAATAAATCGCTGATTTGAATCGACTGCCCACATTGAGATTTTAGATAGGCCCTCACAACTGACTATGTCTGCCGACATGATTTGGTATCGACAAAACAGGTAATGTGCTGACGCGGTCATGTTTTATTGCAGTGGAGGCAGCTAACAAAGGCTTTTGTGTCACGAAATGAATACAACGACGGTGCTTGCAGGAACAGTCACTACGTGTAGTTTGTTTGAGCAGTTCAAACGTCTTTTTCTCGATAGATAATCGGTGTATTTTTTTCTTCAACAATCAGTAAGGACAATTATATATATATATATATATATATATATATATATATATATATATATATATATATATATATATATATATATATATATATTTATATACATATATATATATATATATACATATATATATATATATATATATATATATATATATATATATATATATATATATATATATATACATATATATATATATAAATGTTCAGGGTTCAATTGCCTGCTTGTTTAGGTAATCAATAATTTTAATAGAACAAAACGGTGACCAGAGGTCAGGATAGCTAAATTCACACCTGGAGACTGATAAGCGATTAGTGTTGCTTTTTATTAATTCAAGGTCTATAACCTTGTCGTGAAATAAATGTTAGCTGATTGTGTTTGTATTCAGTTATTGTGAGAATTTAATTTATTTGTGTTCAGTAGCTAATCTTAAAAATTGTTCTTTTTGTACATAAATTATAACATTGTTATTCTACCCGGTGTCTATTGAATCAAAACATAAAGTTTCTTAAATTCACAGTTTACAAAAAGAGAAATGCTACACATCAACAGATTACTATGTCGGAAAATGAACTGTAGAGTAAGTGATTTCTTAATTTCGGGTAATCTACCAGAACTGACATCATACATAACGGTTACAACATAAATACAAATAATAAATTATAAGCCTAGCTGGAAAAAAATCCTGATTATTAGTTGAATGGAAATTCTTGCTTAAAATCACATATATGTACTCGGACATGGACCACATATCACATGTTACATTTTAGCGTACACGTACACATACACTGAAGTGAAGATGTGTGCTTGGGTTAATGTTTTAGTACCTGTTAACCTGTTAACTCTCTCCTCGCGATGAGAGCTCTGGTCAGTCTCCATATGACTATGGAAGGAAAGCTAAAAGCAGGAATAAATGCCTGAATCGATTATTTACATTCTACCAGCATAGGGTACGCATCATTCCAGTAAATGAGAGTTTGTTTTATTTTACACCAGTGTTCGTAACCCTTTTGTGGTTTTGTATAGCCATAGCTAGTAAAAGTGGTTTCACAACATAAACGCATACTGTAAACTTAGCACTTATTTAATACATTTTAAGAATTACATTTTACACATGCGTTTATACCTGCGCCTAAGAAAACAGTGACATTGTACCTACTTAACCAATAGGATTTAACAGTGACTTATGATTAGACATTTTCACTAGAATTATTTTTTTTTGCCTAACCTCTAAAATACATAAATAATAATACTGCGATTTATTTAGCAAGAACTAATATTTTAAATGTTTTATTCACTAGAATTACAAGTACTTCAATTGTTTGATCCAGCTGATTTGTATAGTTTTTGTGTTCCTTCTTTTGGGAACAATTTATTTAAGATTCGTTTCCAACGAAACGGTGAATGTTGGAACACGAGAGACGACGATGTCAAATACCTCAAACAAGAATTATCATGGCGAAAGGCTGCCTTCATTTCTCGACATAAATACAACAAGACGTTATTTCGAGTCTACATTGTCTACGCCACCGTTAACTACTACAAAGAAAGGAATGACCACACACACGCCAGAAGCGACCACCCTTGAAGTTAAGTTAAACTCACCTACGTCTCGTATGACCACGGTTACTGTACCCACTACAACATTCAAGTACAATTTTACATTGATACACGAAACATGGCCAACGGTATTTTTCAACGCTAAAGCTCCCAAAAGTCATTTTAAATTAGTTTCAACGGATTACCAAAAGCAGAATAAAACAATTCTTACCCAGCCTCAAATCATGCCCCCAACATTGTCTTGGTCAAACTCAAGCGACGGGGCTCGTTATTTAGTTTACGTTTGTGACGAGAGACATGGCTGCGGTGGATTGGGAGACCGACAGCGAACCATAGTTTCTCTTTACGTCCTCTCTAGGCTTGTCAACCGACGTTTTAGTATAATCATGAGTAGTCCTTGTGACATTACACATTTCTTTGTGCCATTTAAAGTACAATGGTTGCCACCTCCAGATCTTGACCCACCGACCAAAGATAACACCGTATATGAAATGACAACAGGTACTGGGTTGAAGTTTTCTTCAAGTCTAAAATCCGGAGATTTCAACGAAATGTACCCACAGAGAGTTTTGTATCTTATAACTAACATCGACATGTTTGATTATTTTGGTGTCAACCCTATATATTCCAGCGTTTTTAAACAGTGGAACGGTCTGCTAACCAGGCGAGGTAGATTTCACTGGGCATGGGGCGAACTCATGCGACCAACACCCCCAGTTATGTCTGAACTGGTATCCATTCTTGGAGAAACTTTTCTCAAGAAAAAAGGCGTACTTCCAGTTAATGATGGTCGGGCGACGAAGTTAAAATCTCTTTATGATGTCGGCAACACTAGCCTCATCTGTGCACATGTCCGCGTTGGTCAGAATCCATCAAACCCACATGATGAACCTTTCACGGCTGTTACTGTTGAAGATTTGCCAATGTTACATAATTTCATGCTTTCCAAAGATACGAAAGGAGACGCCATGTTTTACGTAGCTTCTGATTACATCAATGTTAGGATCCTTTCACATAATTTCTTCGGTAAACGTTTCTTGGAATATGGAGCTCAAATCAAGCATATAGACCGTCAGCGAAGTGGCTCCGATGCCTGTGATGGTTTCAAGTGGACCTTAGTAGATCAATTTATTTTATCTCTGTGTGATGTTCTTGTGATGAGCCCAAGTGGTTTTAGTCTTGGAGCGTACTACACAAGCAACAGTACAGACACTACGTACATTTTAGGAGATGGAAAAATTAAACCTTATTATGAATAAAACTAATGTTTACTACTTTAAATTTAAAGTAAAGACGTGTACACTATCGCTCGCAATGTGTTTTTCTTCGTCGCATTTTCAAGTCATAATGAAGCTTTGACATTTGCAACCTTGTATACATTTCTGTCTTTGGCTATCAGAGAGAGAGAGAGAGAAAGAGAGAGAAAGAGAGAGAGAGAGAGAGAGAGAGAGAGAGAGATTGAAAAATAAGATATAGGGATATATAAAGGGGAAGGCTCCGGTAATAAAAATGTAATACTCGTTAGAAAACAGTTGTTTTTCTTTCAGCTTTATTAAAATACATCTGCATATGCATTTCAACTAAAAAAATTGGTGGAAAAATCTTGGTAACTATGAGAATGGCGGCCATCTTGAAAAAATAACCCCCTTGTAGGTTTTCCACTATTCATAAAATATTATATTTTATGCCCTATGAATTTTCATAATTTCCTTCAAAACACTTAATTTTGTAGAATTTTGGGGCATTAAAATTGTGTTTTTAATGGACCCACAATTTGAAAATTCATAAAAAATTTGGTCGAAGATATGCACTTAAAATGTTTAGCTGAGTATCCCAAAATATGGAAGAAGATTATAAATTCATTGTTTATTGGGAGTAAAATATATTATTGTATGAATGATACAAAACCTTCGAAGGGGTTAATTTTTCAAGATGGCCGACGTTGTCATAGTTACAAAGATTTTTCCACGAACTTTTTTTTAGTGGAAATGCATATGCGGATGTATCTTAATAAGGCTATAAAGAAATAACTGTATTCTAACGAGTATTAAAAACTTTGTTTTTTACCGGAGCTTTTAATTAACTTGCTCTATGTAATCAGCCTGTGGTGTGCTTCGATGAAATAACCTTAGTGACTATAAAATACAGATAACCGTTTATTTACTTACATACTTGAAATGTCAAACTTCACCCATTTATAAATATATATATATATATATATATATATATATATATATATATATATATATATATATATGTATAAATATGTCTATATATATAATATATAAAACTCAATTCTGTATGTAACATATAATAAGATTGTTTGTCGTTGACATACTAATATGGATTTAAGTGTAAGACTATTACCGTGCTCATAGTCTAAATTTATGAGTTAAAAAATTACTATTGAAAGTGTTAGGAAATAATTTTCATTTTTCAAACTGATAGTAATAATTGTCGGCATGTTTATTAAACACAATTTTAAAAAAATGACAAAAATTCTAATTATGTCTGAAAATTATTTATATTTAGTCCTTTAGCACTTACTTCCCTTTGATAAATTAGGAAAACACAATTACTTCCCTTTATAAAACATTGCATTAGTGGAAAAGAATTTACTTTTTATTACTTTGCTTTGGTGTTGGGAAAAAAATAATTACATAATTAGCGGGGATTGATCAAGTGCAAATGTTGTAGGTATTTTACGAATAAGCTTGTAGTATTATAATTGTTCATTTGGTTTGGTTTAGCACCTACGTTCGTTTAAGTGAGTGCAAAAGAATATTAATAATTTGGGGTACTATAGTCGATTATTAAGCTGAAACAGGCGATTCTGCCCCGGGCTAGACTGTGAGCACTTTGCGTTTATGTTCGAGTTAGTGTTTTCTTTGTGTTTAGGTTGGGTTTGCGTTAGTGGTAGCGTTTTAATTTGGTTCGTTTTTGTTCTTTCTTTTTTTCGTTTTCGTTTGTGTTTTTTTCTTTGGGTTTGTGTTTGTATTTGTGTTTGTGGTTGGTTTTGCGTTTGGATTTGGTTTGTTTTCGTTTGCTTTTTCGTTTGTGTTTTTTTCTTTGGGTTTGTATTTGTGGTTGGTTTTGCGTTTGGATTTGGTTTGTTTTCGTTTTCTTTTTCGTTTTTTTTTACTTTGTGTTCGTATTGGTGTTTGTGTTTGTGGTTGGGTTTGTTGCTAGGTTTTTGTATTCGTTTGCTTTTTTGTTTGTTTTTTCTTTTTGTTTGTATTTGTGTTTGTGATTGTGGTCGGGTTTGTTGTTAGGTTTTTGTTTTCGTTTGTATTTGTAATTGTGTTAGCGTTATGTTTGCGTTATGTTGTTTTGGTTGGTTGTGGTTTGGGTGGGCAATGCCGGGTTTATGATGATTACTAAACACACAGGTAATGGTCTTTAACAGAAAGGTTTTTCACAGTAGCCAGAGCAGGGCCTGGCCGGGACGGCTAGTATATATATATATATATATATATATATATATATATATATATATATATTTATATATATATATATATATATATATATATGTATATGTATATGTATATGTATATGTATTTATTTATTTATTTTTTAAATTTTGTATCTTTTTTACACTCGATGTCTCCCTACCTACGACCTCTATTGATATATATATATATATATATATAACAGTGAGATGTCTCTACCAACTGACATCTCTGACCTACTCTACGCAAAACTTTGACCTCTATTTGTTCATTATCTTCTGTCTGATGACGCTCAACGAACTACCGCATCCTCTGATCACGTGACTCGGGCCAAGCCAATCGACCATGACTGGTCTTCACGTTTCTGATTGGTTCGCTCACCCTGACCAGTGGTTTACTACGCTAATATGGCATTATGTTCCTACTTAATTAACCATGTCATAATTAACATATAATCTTACGTCATCACGTATCTCAATCTCATTAAATAAGCAGATTTAGTTTATTATAAGTCTATTTTCAGCTAAACTAATGATATAAAAACTGACTGTGTGAAGATAAAAATAAATTAACTGAAAAAAAATCATTGTTAGTTCCTGTGAGTTTTATTATCTACCCTTAGTTGAATGTCTCTTGTCATGTTATTTTGTCTTGCTCCTTTGTTGTCGTGTGTAAAGTGTCTTGTGTCAGGCTGCCTGTTTAAATGCTGTCTCTTCTTGATAATATTTGACTTTGGTAGTCGGCACGTAGTTTGACGTGTTTTGTCCGGGCAGGTTAGTTCTAGTTCTAGTCCAGACTGGTTGGTTAGGTAATCGACTTCTAGTCCAGACTGGTTGGTTAGGTAATCGACTGTCTAGTCTAGGCTGGTTGGTTAGGTAATCGACTTCTAGTCCAGGCTGGTTGGTTAGGTAATCGACTTCTAGTCCAGGCTGGTTGGTTAGGTAATCGACTGTCCAGGTTGGTTGGTTAGGTAATCGACTGTCCAGGTTGGTTGATTAGGTAATCGACTGTCTAACCTAGGCTGGTTGGTTAGGTAATCGACTGTCTTGCCTAGGCTGGTTGGTTAGGTAATCGACTGTCCAGGTTGGTTGGTTAGGTAATCGACTGTCTAACCTAGGCTAGTTGGTTAGGTAATCGACTGTCCAGGTTGGTTGGTTAGGTAATCGACTGTCTGGTCCGGAATGGTTGGTTAGGTAATCGACTATTAGTCTAGGCTGGTTGGTTAGGTAATCGACTGTCTAGTCCAGGCTGTATGGTTAGGTAATCGACTGTCCAGGTTGGTTGGTTAGGTAATCGACGATTAGTGTAGGTTGGTTGGTTAGGTAATAGACTGTCTTGCATAGGCTGGTTGGTTAGGTAATCGACTGTCTGCTCCGGACTGGTTGGTTAGGTAATCGACTATTAGTCTAAGCTGGTTGGTTAGGTAATCGACTGTCCAGGTTGGTTGGTTAGGTAATCGACTGTCTTGCCTAGGCTGGTTGGTTAGGTAATCGACTATTAGTCTAGGCTGGTTGGTTAGGTAATCGACTGTCTGCTCCGGACTGGTTGGTTAGGTAATCGACTGTCCTGGTTGGTTGGTTAGGTAATCGACTGTCTTGCCTAGGCTGATTGGTTAGGTAATCAACTGTCTGGTCCGGAATGGTTGGTTAGGTAATCGACTATTAGTCTAAGCTGGTTGGTTAGGTAATCGACTGTCTTGCCTAGGCTGGTTGGTTAGGTAATCGACTGTCTTGCCTAGGCTGGTTGGTTAGGTAATCGACTATTAGTCTAGGCTGGTTGGTTAGGTAATCGACTGTCTTGCCTAGGCTGGTTGGTTAGGTAATCGACTGTCCAGGTTGGTTGGTTAGGTAATCGACTGTCTGGTCCGGAATGGTTGGTTAGGTAATCGACTACTAGTCTAGGCTGGTTGGTTAGGTAATCGACTACTAGTCTAAGCTGGTTGGTTAGGTAATCGACTGTCTTGCCTAGGCTGGTTGGTTAGGTAATCGACTGTCTTGCCTAGGCTGGTTGGTTAGGTAATCGACTATTAGTCTAGGCTGGTTGGTTAGGTAATCGACTGTCTTGCCTAGGCTGGTTGGTTAGGTAATCGACTGTCCAGGTTGGTTGGTTAGGTAATCGACTGTCCAGGTTGGTTGGTTAGGTAATCGACTATTAGTCTAGGCTGGTTGGTTAGGTAATCGACTTCTAGTCCAGGCTAGTTGGTTAGGTAATCGACGTTCAACTAGATTCCATTGAGCCGGCGTTTTCGTCCCCTCTGCTGGCAGGTGTAGTGGAGCGGCAACATATTGTTGCTATTGTATAGCTCTATTGTCTGTAGATCAGCGTACGTATGGTACGCTCTTTAGTCTTGACTGTTGATTAACTAACCCACCCCACTCGCCTTGACTGGCTATAACGTCAACGTTGACTGTTTATGTAGTGACCTAGGTGAATATCGAATTCATGTTGTAACCTGCTGTATCTCACGAATGTACAGCACAAATCGTTGTTTCATGTTGTGAAATGTTGGCTGGCGAAAAAAAAAACGGTGCTGTAAGATTATAGCACTGCAGGTGGCGTGGATAGCACAAGGTTTCATGATCCACCGCTCTTCAGAGTCTTAGAAGTGTAGGGCCTATATAATATGTGCTCTTTGAAGTGTTGACATGTGATATAGTATATCTGCTGTGTCGTGGCTAGGGAGAAAAACAAATCGATCTGTATTAATAATAAACATTAAAAAAGTTTAAAAAAACCCACGTTTTCTGATTGAACTAAAAAGTAGAAAATAAATGTTATACATCACAATAATGCAAGCGATCACTCTACTA